AGTTATTCTCCAAAGCCCCAGAAGGCAAGAAACAACGGATGGAAACTAACCAAGGAGAGAAGCAACCTGGAATTAAGGAGAAACCTCTGAACAGGGAGGACAATGAACCAGTGGAACTGCTGGCCACCAGAAGTTGTCTATCCCTGGAGGTTTTTAAGAAGAGATTGGACCGCCATTTGTTTGAAATGGCTTAGGGTTGGACCAGATGACCTCCAAGGTCCCTTCCAGCTCATTCATTCTATTTAGCGTCAGGCCGCAGCGTCACAAAATTGAGGAAAGCGAAGGGGGCGCGAATACTTCCTGAACACGCCATACATCCATCCATAAATTAATCTTTGAGCGAAGAAAAAAGCGAAGGGCGAAGAACTCCAGAGGGGAGAGACAAACTCACCTCTGATCAGGAACGAGCCCCCGATAATTAACACCAGGCCGATGGGGGCCAGGACGAATCCTGCGCGATAGTGGTAGTTTTTGTACCCCACGAAACAGATGCCGCTCACGGAGTCTCCGTCCACCTGAAAGAAAAGGAGAGGAAGAGCTGTCATGGCCTTGTTGGAGTCCGATTCTGAGGGGGAGATCGAGCCGCTGACCGAGAGCGGGAGTGCGGCTCCGGCGGCTGTGGAAGAAATGGGGGAAGGGCACAGTCCGGGTGGACATTCAGAGGAAGCCCCAGGCCCATCCCCTCTTTATCCTAGGGTACGCAGGGAGGAACAGAGAAGGGAGCAACATGGCTTACGGGGGAGAAAAGGGCCCTGATCCCTTTCATTAGTTACAGCTGGGAGAACAGGATATAAGGGCGTTTGCACACGGCTCCTTGCTGGAAGCAAAGTGTGCATTATCTTAGTCGAGGCTTATCTGGGTTTTGGCGTCTTCCCAACTGTAGGTGTTGTGTTATCCTTTGGAAGTTTCTCAATTTATCATCCTGACCTGCCGTGTTAACGACTCCAGCGTGGTTTGTGTTGGTTTTTTTAAATTTCTAATTATCTTTACTTTGGGTTCAGACGGCATTTACTCCCTTCACAGACTATTTTTGGAAGAGTCTGATCTTCAGCTGAGGATAATTGGACATTGGGGGCCAAGTTGGAGGCAATAAAGGGAATTTATTCTACTTTGGTGACTTTGTTAATTTTGTTTCACTCCCCTTTGGGTCATCTCAGTACATAGGAACCAGCTGCCAAGTACCTGAAATTTGGTCACGTGGTCAGGGGGATGCTGTAACGGTCGTAACGGTGAAAAATAGTCGTAATGGTGAAAAGCGCTCGTAAGTCACGTTTTTTTTGCTGCCATTAACTTTGAACAGTCACTATGTGTACTGTTGTAAGTCGAGGACTACCTGTGTTTAATAAATTGACATGGCCAAAAGGGGATCACACGATCCTGGGACACTGAGACCGTCATAACTATGAGTCAGTTGTCAAATGTCTGAGTTTTCCTCATGTGACCACAGGAACACTCTCACCGTCATAACTATGGATCAGTTGGCAAGTGTCTGAATTTTGATCGTGTGACCCTGGGGATACTGCAATGGCCGTTAAGTGAGAAAAACGATCATACGTCACTTGTTTCATTGCTCTTGTAACTTCGAACGGTCACTAAACGAACTACTGTAAGTCGAGGACTTACAACCTGTACATGTGTTGCAAATAAAATAAGTAATAACAAAGGTGAACCAAGTCACATCCATAAAGTAATGACAACAATAAACCTGATGTCAACTCATAAAACATTTCTATGCCCATTTACAGTTGCCAACAGTAAAGGAAGGGGCGGGCGAAGGAGTTTGAAAGAGCAGTGCGGCCGTTTGGAAATCGAAAGTGCATTCCGTTAATATCTTGCAAAGATTATAACTAAGCGACTGGAGTTTCTGCTGTGCAAATCCCTAATTGGAGAATGGGATTGATGACTCTTGGCTATGGACGTGTTTCGTTGAAGAATATGAATTATGACCCACTCAGAGGGGTGACGGAAAACCAGGGTTAAGGATGACAGTGAATGAGTCGTCTTCATACAGGTCGTGCCGACATGTTCGCTCCTAATAAATCTCTTGTAAGTTTTGAAGCTTGGCTCGAAGCTCATGATTTAATTGGGGAATTAACTGCCGGAATCCTAACACCTGGTTCCAAAAGGTTAGAGAAACAGACGGAAACAGAGGTTCCCGCGGGAAGAATTCTAGCATTAAGGCACCACCCCCGAGAAGACCCTGCTCTCCCCCAAAGCTTCGCCTGAGCTCCCGCCAGCCCCGTCACCTGTGCCACCGCCAAGATGGCCACTGTGAGGACGAAGGGGATGGACCAAGTCACCAGGTGGAAGTAGGACGTCTTGCCCGCCAGCGGCTGGTAGGTGGTGCCCAGCGCCTTAAAGGAGGTGTGCCAGGCGTATGTCAGCATGACGAACCAGATCACCCCGGACATCAGGGAATAGTAGACAATCACGAAGATGATCACGCAGGAGAGGGTCTCGTTGGAGCTGTGGAGAGAGAGAGAGAGAGTGTGAGAGAGACGGGGGAGAAGGAAGAGAGAGACACAGTGAAAGAGAGACGGAGAGAGAGAAGAGAGAGACAGAGAGAGAGGGGGGAGAAGGAAAAGAGACAGAGAGAGAAAGTGAGACAGACAAAGAAGGAAGAAAGACAGACATAGAGGAGAGAGAGAGAGACAGAAAGAAGGCAGAGAGACAGATAGAAA